TTCCTCCTTGGAAGCTGTACCTTGTCCCCAGCCTGAGCAGCCTGCAGGGGCAGGAGGCAGAGGCTGCCTATGCGCCTGGCTTGGCCTCTGGGCTCTGTGGAGGGTCCCCCCTCTGCACCCTCACCAGACTGCCCACCTCTCTCCTCAGACTCTTCTGTCCACACCAAAGGCTGTGCCATGGCTGGGGTCAGCCTGGGCAAAGAAAAGGCGAAGGGCAGGATGTGGGAGGCTGGGCTGGGGAAAGTAGGGCTCTAGGAGCAAGGAGCCACCCAGCAGGACCAGATCGGGGTGTGCAGCCAGCTCCACAGGTGGAAAATGGAAAAACCACTGCTCAATTCATTCTAGGATCTTTTAAAAATACCAAATTTTTTTCCAGCTAGAAAAGAATCAGGAGCCAGGTCTCTGGGAGGCTGAGGCAGGAAGATCACAGGCTCAGGAAACTTCATGATGTAACAAGAGCCTGTCTCAAAATACATAAGGGCTGGGGATGCAGCTCAGTGGGGGTACTCTGGGTTCAACCCTCCAGTACAGCCAAAAAGAAAAAAAAAAAGGAAGGACTAAAATAACAACTAGGAACCCAAGGCAGCCTCCTGTGGGGACCTCTGCCCTCTGCCATCTGTCTAAGTGGCCTGTGTCTCTTGCCAATCACCACAGCTTTCCCTGGGGGTGGGTATAGTCCTCACAGCATAGATGAGGAAACTGAGTCCAGCCATCAGCAGTAGAACTTGGGTTTGGATCAGGACTGGATTCAGAGCCATTTGAGGATCTGGCAAAGCACCTGGGAAGAAGGCCAGGGTCAGAGGGCAGTGGGGTGGTGCCACACCCTGGGCTCCCATCCAGGCCTGGCCACGTTGCCAAACACCTCCATCCGACCCTGCCAGGCCTGGAGAAGCTGGCCCTGGTGCAGGCAGAGTCAGCGCCTGCCAGAGCTGCCATGTGGCAGTGGAGCGACACAAGGCCTGGGCAGAGGGAGCTGGCAACAGACAGTGCTGCTATCCTGAGGGTGGCAGAGTCACCCAGGGATGGGGGTGTGGGGGCATCCAGGCAGCCTACAGACCCCAGAAAGGCCTGAGGGGTCCAGCAAGGCTGCAGTAACTGGAACCAGATGCCACACAGGCCTCATTTCCACGGCATGGGGCCAGGAAGGACAACGCAGGGCGCAGCCGGGAGCTCGGCCCCCACACAACCTGTGCCAGGGCCCAAGAGTGTCGGGTGCCTGCTCTTTCATGGGAAGGGAGTCAGCCTGAGGCTTGGTGCACAAAGCCATCCACGGCCCGCCAGCTTCTGGGGCCTGGCATCTACCCCAGCAGAGCTGGGCCACAGAGCTTGGCCCAGAGCCCCTTCCCAGCCCAGACCCCGCTGCCTGGACCTGGCGAGTCCCAGACAGCCAACCCCATAGCATCCTGGCAGGGGAAAGGATGGCTTCCTGCCCCGCAGAGCCCCAAAGGCTGAGAGGAGGAGGGGTGGTGGCTCCACCAGGCTTGCGGCCTTGCCCTGTGGCCCCACCACAGAGCTGAAGAGGCTGAGGCCAGGGAGCAGCTAATCCAGACCCAGACCCAGGGAGAGGTGGGTCCCAGCCTCAGGACAGTGTGCTGTGCCTGCTCCCTTGGGAGGGATGCAGGGTTTGCCTCTTGCTCCCTACTCCGATGCCTTCTGAGCTCCCGGGAGCATCTGTCAGCCCAGGGGCCGGGCAGGCGCTGAAGGGAGGGCCGGGGACTTGAAGCCAGGGCTGCTTCAGTGGCCATGGCTGCGGGCAAAAGGTTGCATCTTCCGCCACCCACAGCGGCTTCCTGGAGGGTGGAAGTGCTGGGCAGGGGCCTGGACGCATGTCCTGCTGAGTAAGGGGCCAAAAGAGGAAGCACAGCAGGTGGCTCAGGCCAGCCAACACCCCACACTGGTCACCTCCCAGGCAGCTCTGCTGGCTGACAGACCCTGGCCCCAGCTACCACTCCCCTGGGCCTTGGTGTTTGTCCTCCCCTCAGCCACGGGCAGGACCTAAGTTGGAGCTCTGCCCCGATGCACCAGCACGAGCACTTCCGGAAGCCTCGAGGTCTACATCTGTACACCAGGGCAAAGGCTTTGCAGAGGCTGGCAGAGGGGAAGCATCACCCCGAGGTCAGGAGGATGTGGGGTCCCTGCCCCTTCCTCTCCCAGGCCGCTGTGGGGAACTAATCTCACCCAGGCATGGTCATGGTAACGCAGCCAGTGCAGAGCGTCCACCTCCCAGCTGAGCTCTCCTCCTCCTGTCCTGGGCCAGGTGCAGCCCCTGCCCCTGACTCCCGCGGGACCTCGGCTTCCCCTCAGGAAGCAAGTGCCTGGGATGCCCTGGAGCCGGAGCTCTCTAGAGAGCTTGGCAGGGCCTGGCTGGCAGAGGCCAAGCCTGCTTGGATGTGGGCCAGGTTGGCACCGGTGGACAGGTGAACAGCAGGGCCAGAGTGGCTGGCATGGAATCAACTGTGCAGGTAGATGCCCGTGGCCGGCCACCCCAAACCTCCTGTGCCCCTCCCTACCTCTGACACCCGTGCCGGCTCTCAGAGGGAAGCCAGCGCTGACTCCCGGCCTCTCTTCCTCCTCTGTAAGGTGGGACAGCCCTGGGAAGTTCCAGGCTGCGCAGTGTGGATGAGACCACCCGTCCTGAGGGCCCCGCACACGGCAGACCAAGGGTGAAGTTGGAGGGCAGGGGCTGAGAAGCGGATCGCTGTCCCACCAGCAGCTGGCTTGTCACCCCCACCCGTCCACCTATCCTAGCCAAGGACAAGTACATTTGGGTGGGTGGCTGGGCACCAGCAGCCCACGCCATTCCCAGAAGGGCCCTGTGCTGGCCCAGGCTCAGCCCACAGCTGTCCTCCCTGGGTGGCAGCTTTGCCCTTGTCCCTCCATGGTGCCCTCCAAAACCAGACACACACTGGGTTCAAATCCTGGCTCCCACTGGCTGTGCCACCTCAGGCAAGTGGCTTAGCTTCTCTGAGCCCCAGTTTCCTCCTCTGCACAGCAGGGGAACTTACAGTACCTACCTCTCAGGGTGGTTCTGAGGATTAAGGGAGTTAATCCAGAATAGTGACCTCACACTCAGGGATACATGTGGGGAGGCTCTGGGGACAACAGTCATCAATCACAGCAAGGAGAGAGTACAAATCAGAAAGGAAAATCACTGCTTTGATTAACAACCTACTCCTGGGCTCCAGTCTGGCCACTGTCCTCAGAGAAGCTGAGATGCATGGCTGCCCATACCCAGGTGGGGAAGGGACAGGGGTCCTGAGGGCTGTCCACAGCCCCGCGTGGTGGCCACAGTCCACTCTTCTTGACAGCCGCCAGCCACACAGCCACTTGTGCCTGACTGGACAGACGGAGCGGCTGGACCCTCTCAAGGCCAAGCTGTCCAGCCAGGGACCACAGACTTCCGGGCAGACTCCTGACTGTGGAAAACAGGCCAGGATTCCAAGACAGCTGTGAGTTCAAAACAGCTGGCCCATCCCAAGCGTGGTGGCGCACACCCAGTCCCAGCTTCTCAGGAGGCTGAGGCAGGAAAACCACATCTAGTTCTTTTTTTTTTGTACCGGGGATTGAACTCGGGACCTTGCACCTGCCAAGGAAGAGGGGCAGAACCACTGAGCTAAATCCCCAGATCACATCTAGGTTGAGGCCAGCCTGGGCTACATAGTAAGTGCAGTGCCAGCCTGATCTACATGAGACCTTGTCTCAAAATAAATAAATAAATAAACCAAATCACTGGCTCAGACTAGATTTTTGTAAAAATAAAAAACACCTGGCCCATTGTTGGGACACCCACAGTGCCCTGGTCAGGAAGCGGCTGCAGTCAGGCCTCCTCTTCCCCTGGCCCCTCCTCCCTGCATCCCCCAGGGCAGCTAGGGGGCAATTTCTAGGCAGGCCGGGCGGAGCCCTTACCCGCCCTCCAGAGGCTGCGCTTGGGTCCAGGTCATTCACAGGGCCGCCCTACAGAGCGCAGCTTCTGCTTCAGTCTTAAAAGGCTGCCGCAAGTCATTATGGGAGCAATGTCCCCCAAGCTCTGGAACCTGGGGCGTTCCCAAGTGACACAAGAGACTTTCTGACCCTTCTGTGGCTCAGAGTTGGACACAGAAAGCCTCTATCTCAACTATGAGTCCATAGCCTTTTGCTTTTTTTGTTCTGAAAACAGGATCCCAGGACCCAGGTGGCTGAGGCATTAGGGTCACCGGGAGTTCAAGGCCAGCCTGAACTACATAGTAAGATCCTGTCTCAAAAAACCAAAGAAAGAGGAAAAAAATGAAGAGACAAGATCTTGTTATGTAGCCTAGACTGGCCTCCAGTTTGAGATCCTCCTACCTCAGCCTCCTGAGGATGATAGGCATTCATCCAACATCTGGCAAACTCTGGTTTCTTGTGCCTTTAAAACCACTCCTAAGTCTTGGATATATGAAGTACACAGACAGTATGCTAATACTTTGGCCATTTAGGCCAGTGATGGCAAACCTTTTAGAGCTTCCAGCAATACAACAGCCTGCTGAGGCACACATGCCATAGATTCGCCCCCACTGATTTAGGCCATTCAGTGGGGCTTCTGCTTCCTGTGATGATACATTAGGTAAATCGGACCAAATTTCCCATTTGGCATAACCAAAAATCTACATGGAAAAAACTTATTAAATTTTAAAAATATCAAGCTAGACGTGGTGGCACATGCCTGTAATGCTAGCACTCAAGAGGCTGAGGCAGGAGGACTGCCAAGTTTGAGGTGAGCTGGAGCTATATGAGTTCAAGGTCAGTGAGACTATTGTCTTAAAACTACGGAGACTCTGCCTCAAATTTTAAAAAATGACGTTAAAAAAGGCTGGGGATATAGCTCAGAATGAAGGTCCTGGGTTCAGGTGTGAAAAACCCTTTACCATAAGTCGCCTTTGGGAGGGGAAGAGCTAACAAGAAAGGCTGGAGTTGCGCATGGGATACCCTCGTCTCCCGCTGCAGCTGCCCAGGTCTGCCCAGAGCTGTGCATTTCAGGGATGGACACAGAGAAGGAGGGAGAAGTCCAGCCGCTCATCCAGAGGTCAGGGATGCGCAGGAAGACTTGCAGAGGACAGGTGGCAGAGTAAGTGGCTTGATGTCAGGCTGGAAGCATCTGCTAGATGCAAACATCCCCAACCCCTCACCTGGGGGCTCTGCTTCCCGGGGGTTCACTCAGGAGACACAAGGCCCCCTGGGCACTGAGATGCAGGAAGTGCCACCTTGGCAGCGGTGGGACAGGGTTGAGAAATGGAACCAAACGGGTCCTCTGGGAGGTAGAGGGAAGGAGACTCAGCAGGAGAGCACTTGCCTCATGCACGCAGGCCAGCACCACGGGAACACACACATGCACGTCGCAGAGCCCTTGGAAGGAAGGAGGTGGGAACTGCGGTGTCACTGCGTATGTGGAGCCCTGGATGAAGTCCCACCATCAAGACAAATACAAAGGAGGGGGCATGGTTTTGTTATGTTGGTATTTTTAATTTTTTCGAGACAGGCTGGCTTGAACTCCTAGTCAATTGAGACTCCTGCTTCAGCCTCCTAAGTATCTGGAATTTGCAGGCACACACCGGCATGCTTGGCTATTGGCTTGCTTTCTTGCTTGATTTTTTTTGGTTTGCTGAGCTTTTTTTTTGGTAGTAGCAGGGATGGAACTCAGGATCTTGCACTTGTGAAGCAGGAGGCAGAACCATTGAGCTAAATCCCTGACCCTTTTTTGTTTTGCTTTGTTTGAGACAGGGCTTCATTATGTAGATCAGGATGGCCTTGAGTTCACTAGATTGCCCAGGCTGGCCTCAAATTCAGGGTAATCCGCCTGCCTCAGCTTCCCAAATGCTGGAATTAAAGGTATGTGCCACCACGCCTGAAAATGTTTCTTCATAAGCATAACAAAAGGTACACAAGGCTGTGTGTTTGCCTTTGCCTGGAGGTGCTGAGGTAACCAGGGGCCGCTCTGCACTGCTCACAGGGAAGGCATGATTTGGGAATTCCCAAGGCCCACACTCTGCTCCCTTCAGCAGGAAATGCAGGCATGGACCTCAGGTCAGCTGGACATCAGTCATGGGGCCCTGTGTTATAGACACAGCTGCTAATGTGGGTCACACAGCCTGACATTTGGTGGACGCGGTGACAGCCAGCAAGGCCCATGTGGGGCCGCAGGAGCACTCCAGACCTGCAGTCTCCTTCAGAAACCTGTGTCCCGCTGTGCAGGGTCCACACATCCCTAACTACAGCCCCATGAGGGCAAGGCAGGACTGCAAGTTTCAGCTCAACCTGGGCAACTTAGAAACTGAGTAGGACCCTGCCTCAAAATAAAAGATAAAAAAGGGCCCGGAATGCAGCTCAATCCCCAGCACTATGAGAAAAGAGGAAGAAAGAAGAGAAAAAAGACAAGAAAGAGGGAAGAGGAGTTCATGGGTCTTCCCACAAACACTACAAAGGCAAGCTGGAACCTATCCCAGACCTCCAGCTGACTCTGGTGCACAATACATGCTTTGGAGGGCCAAGGTCCCTCCTGGTGGCTTCTATGCTCTGAGCTACACTTGGAGTTGGTTTTTGTTGTTTGTTTTGTTTTTCAAGACAGGGTCTATGTAGTTGAGACTGACCTGGAATTATGTAGCCCAGGCTGGTCTCAAACTCACAAGAGATCCTCCTGCCTCAGCCTCCCAAGTGCTGGGATTACAGGTGTGTGTCACCAAGCCTGGCTTGGTTTTTGTTGTTTTTTGACAGGCTCTTGCTGGTTTGCCCAGGCTAGCCTCCGACTCACAATCCTGTCCCACCTCAGCCTTCAAAGTAGCTGGGATCACAGAGTGCACTACCACACTTCCCCTTGACTGATGGGGGCAGAGTCCTGCCAGGTGTGGGCTCATTCAGCAAGCACAGGGCCTCCCCTTCTCATGGTGTCTGCTGCCCTGTCCTTTCCAGAGAGGAAGGAAAGGCCCTGCAGGACCCAGGCAGGGCTGGGCCAGCTCTGAGGTGGGGCACATGCTGTCACGGCAGCTGGGGAGTAGCATTGTGTGTCCCTCTCATCCAGCCTGCAGCTGTGGAGTGGACTTCGCAGCCGTGGCTTTAACTGCTTCCTTGTTGGCTTTTGTGCAGTGGATTTCCCACTGCCAAGGACCTGCTCGCCCCAGAACAGGATCTGCACACTGTTGGCTGCGTGCAAGGTGCCCTCCCTGTCCGGAACATGCTGCCATAGTCACCGCAGCCACTGTGCTAGACTCAAGGGAGCAGGAAGGCCAGGGCTAGGTGGTTTTCTCCACTAGGCAGGGAGAAAAGGACCACACTCAGGGTCCAGAGCACTATAGCAACCTGAGCCACTCAGCTGCCTGCAGACCCTGAGGCCCTGCTGGCTCAGCTCCTGGCATCTGTGGTCCGTCCTGCCACCCTGCACCGGCACTGTCCTGTCCAGGCCTGGGACACTGAAGCCAGCGTGTGGTCTCTAGAGGCCCTGCAGGTCACCAGCTTATTTACTTCACCGCTGCTTGGCTGGGCTTGTCTGCTGAGTCCTGCTCTGCCAGGCTGCTAGGAGAGAAGACTGCAGGGCCAAGCTCTCCTTGCTCAGGCAGGCACCAGCACAGGCCCTGGCATGGGGCCAACTGTTCCACCCTTGAGAGTTGGGTGGAGCAGCACAGAACCATAGCCTCAGCTACTTTTGAGGCAGAGGCAGGAAGACCACAACTTTGAGCTCAGTACAATTTAGCAAGACTTTGTCTCAAAATATAAAATTAGCTGGGGATATAATCAGTGATAGAGCACCTGGTTTTACCGCTAGTATATAAGGGGGGCTCTGTGGGGAGTGAATCCGCTTCCCCCAGAGGGATGGGGCGTTCTAACTTACACAGGGCCCTGGACAGAAGGAAAAGGAACTCCCAGCTTGTTTGACAATGACAAGCGCAGGCCTGGGTTGAGAGCCCCAGCCTGCGGGTGCCGGCCCAAGTTCTTCCCTACCTGGTCTTTGCCATGGTTTCACCTCAGCCTATGAGTACAGAATAAAATGATCCGTGTAAGAAACTTACACCACAAAACCCAGGCTCTCCAAGACCTTTAGTAATGCAGTTCATACATAGACGGGGAGCCAGGGCAGAAACCACAGCAGCCAGACAGCCCCATGAGCACACAGTAGCGGCCGGGTGCTGGGACTCAGTCCAAGTTGAACAGCTGTAAATGACACCGGCGGCTGCCTGTCCAGGGGGACGATGGGCCCAGCTGGGACTTGGATTCAGGGTGAGCATCCCGGGGAGTCACTGGATGGCTTCCACTGCCAGGGATGGGTGAGGTAAGAACCCCGAGGGAAGAGCAGTTCTGTTGCCCCAAACAGACTTGGTGAAACATCTTTTTTGGGGTGGGGGTTTGAGATAGGGTTTCGCTATGCAGTCCAGGCTGGCCTTGAAGGCACACACAGCTCAGGTTGGCCTCCAACGCCCAGCTTCTGTTAAACACCTGCTCGAAGTGACAGAGCTGGAGTTCAAACTCAGAGTTCTCATGCCACAGAGCCAGCTGTCCTAACCCATGATACTGCGGCTACATATAATAAAATGAACCTGCCAATCAGCTCATTAAAATCACTGGTGTGGTGAGCACTTGGGAGGCTGAGTCAAAAGGACCAAGACTCCTAGAGCAGCCTGAGCTAGAGGCTGTCTCCAAAGCAGTACCAAGAAAGGGAAAGGGACCCTTCGCCACACCACCCGGTCCTCACTCTGCAAGGCGGAAACTTGTGCCCAACGGGCCGTTCCTTCTGCACAGCCCAGGGCTCCTCAGACAGCGCTGCCCGCTGTCTGCCATGGCCAAGGGGGCCCTCTAGCGGCAACATCTCTCCTTTCCGGGGGCTGACTTGAGGCCACCTATGGGCGCCGCTGCTCTGCCTTGACTCCAGAAACAAAAAGGTGGCAGTGACAGCTGGCTGCAGATTCTTTGAAAGGTCAAGAGATGAAACAGTCACACGAGGCACCCTGAGGTGTACATGGAAACGGAGAAGCTGGACCTTCCATGGCCCCAATCATGTGATGGGCTTGAGTGCTGAGCTAAGCCCTGAGTCCAGGTCCAGAGTCCAAAGGCTGAGTAAGCGTTGCAGCCGTGAGGCTGCACTGGGAAAGCTCTCATCCATCCCACCACCACGTCCAGGCAAGACAGGGCCCCAGGACACTCTCTGGTCTCCCAGTTTCCCGCCTTCCCACAGCTGCATCCTTGGAGCTCCTGCTGAAGTCAGTGGGCAATGATGGCTGATTGGGTGACCCAGGTGGGAGGAAGGAGCCTCAGGAACCCCCGCTGTGAGTGCAGCCAGGACAGGTGAAAAGGACGACTAACCTAGGTGGTGACGGTCTCACACGGCCAGGACTGCAGAAGTTGGCAGTGTCCAATGCACAGGGCCCAGGAGGGGCTCACAGGACCAGGACTGTGGGGACAACAGCGCTCACCCTGGGCCTCCCACTTCAGGGAGCAGTGCAGCAGGGAACAAGGTGCCTCCCGTGCTCACGCCCGGCCTGCCTTTGGCGCTTCTGGGGTCCCAGATCACTTTTACTGTAACCAGGTCCCCCAAAGGACATGTGGAAGACCTGGCTGTGTTCCTCCTGTAAGGGGGGGGGTCCCAAACTTTCCCACAGCTGCAGAAGCTCCAGGCTATGCGGAAGAGTAGGGCCGAGGTCCAGCGACGGGGCTGCGACAGGCACCCTGATTTCTCACTGCACGACACAGGGCTCATGCGTCATCGGCCGGCTGGGATGGTTGCTCCTTCCCTTTGAGAAACTTCATTTTCCGGAAGAACTTGGACTTGGGGTGCAGTTTCCCCTTGGGCAGCTGCTCTTTCTCACTGTCTCGTGCCCCAATTTTCTCTGATGCGCCGGGAAGTTTGAAATTGTAATCTGTTGTGACGTAAGGAATTGTCCCCTCCAGCCCATGCTGAAATGGAAACAGAACCATGGAGACCGTGGCCTGCGGCCTCTCCCACACGTGGCCACAGCTCAATAGTGCCTCTCTGAACAGATGTTCACGGCGCCCCACCCCTCGCCCCCCACCAGCCGCCCAGGGCCCGCCCAGGCCTGATGAGCCACTGCAACTCCCAGCCCGTCCTGGGGCCCCACGCGCAGGCTCACCTGGCTCTTGAAGACATACTGCGGAATGGAGACAGCGCCAACCAGCAGGCAGTTCACACTCCGTAACTCCTCCGGGGCCACAGGAGTGAGGATGTGGAACAGCCGCTTCTCCATGTCAATGCCCCTGCAGATCCCTTCAAAACAGCCACCGCAGTCACACCACAGACACCGCACCCCACGGCCACGTTGCGGGGTGGCTCCAGAGGCAAGAGCTTCCTCTGAAGGAGGGGTTTCCGAGACCCAGAACCCCCGATCCCCACTGCTATCCTTGGCCTCAGGGAGCGATCCGCTGGGGAGGTGGGGCCCCACCAGGTGCCACCCACCCAGTGCAATGGCAGCCCATGGTGACACAGTGCCATCTGTACCCAGGGCACCTGACTGCACGGTGGCACGGAGAGGAGAGGTGTGGAAGCAGGAGCTCCTGGGCCTGCAGGTGGACAGAGCACATCCCAGGGTAGGCTCAGAGGGCGGCTGTGGGTGGGCTGGACGGTGTCATGGCAGCCCTAGAGCACTGGCCGCAGGTGGAATGAACGGGAGGCCAGAAGGATGAGGCACCTCGGGAAAAGAGGGAGCCTATGGCCAGGGCCTGTCACCACCAGTGGGCTGAGGGACTCACCAAATCCCACGCAGTCACAGATGGGCGTCTGGGCCAGCAAGATGGGCCCCCTCGTGTAGCCATGCACATCATCCAGTATCCGGCACAGGCCAAGCCAGCTAGCATTGATGGCGTACAGGATGTGGGTGGGGGCGACGTCAGAGTGCGTAACCCTCAGAGCAACAGCATTGAAAGGAACCTGCAAGGTACATGGGTGGCTCCCTCCATTCATGTCTACTTGCAGACCATTTTTAACTTGGTTTTGTGACTGGGTGCACTCCTGCCTCAGCCTCCGGAGTAGCTGGGATTACAAGTGTGTGCCCCACTCCCAGCCTCACACACAGTTCTCATGTAGCAGCAACACTTGCTGGAAAGCAGACACGTTCTCGTCTAAAGAGATGAAGGTGACTGGAGGCCGAGGATGCCCTACGTGTACTGAGGTGACAGAGACGCCTAACCCTGGTCACTGCCTCTTCTGGGGTAAGGAAGTCGGATTCACTCCCAGAGACAGCTAGTGGTGCAGACAGAACGCGGCTCTGGGGCAGAGTGGGTGAGCGGGAGTGGGAGTGAGTGTGCACGCACTCAGCACACACAAGGCCTAGGCTCTGACTGCCAGCAGCAAAGACAGAAGGAAGTCGGCCCGTGTTCAGGTGCACAGGCACACAGTGGTATGAGACCAGGAAATCCCTTGTGTCTTCCAGCCCTAGGCACAGGAACCAGGGTGCCCACCACTGAGCCACACCCCAGGCCCTCTCATCTTTGGAGAGAGGGTCTCACTGTTGCCCAGGTAGGACTCAAACTTGCAATCCTCCTGCCTCAGCTTCCCCAAGTGCTGGTATTTTAGGCATACATCAGCAGACCTGGCTTTTCTTCTTTTCCAGTGGTACAGGGAACTGAGCCCAGGTCCTTGCATGGGGTGGGGGGTGCACAGGATGGGGACACAATCCCAGCCCTTGTTGTGGCTATTTGGGTCGGGGGGGTACTGGGGAATTGAACTCAGGACCTTGTACTTGGAAGACAGGCAGCAGTACCACTGAGCTAAGTCCCTGGCCCTTGTTGTGGTTGTTTTGAGAGACAGTGTCTCGCTAAGTCACTAAGTTGCCAGGCTGGGCTCAAAGTTACAATCTTCCTGCCTCAGCCTCCCAGAGAGCTGGGATTACAGGCATGCACTGCTGTACCTGGCTGGTCCCAGATTTTCAAAATAGAAAAGTATTTTCTTATATGTGTTACTTAGAAATAAAAGGAGGGAGGGACCGGGGATTTAGCTCAGTGGTTTGGTGGCCTGCCTTGCAAGCGCAAAGACCCAAGTTCAAACCCCGGTACCAAAAAAAAAAAAAGAAAAGAAAAGAAATAAA